AAAAAAAAAAAAAAAAAAAAAAAGAAGAGAAGTCTTATTATACTCGAATTCTCATGTTTTTTTTTTTTTGAGAGCAAGAATTTTTTAATTTTATTAACATTTATATAACAAGGGATAAATTGTTCTTCTAATATTCCTGGTTTTATTAATTTCCTTTAATATTCGATTTGAGAAACGATGGTCGGTGTAATAAGTAATAATTTGTACTTGCGAAGTTTCTGATTATTTTTATATATAGATCACGGGGGTGAGAGTACCGTGGGTTGTAATAAAGTTCATGAAAGAATCATAATTGAATGAGAAAAGTTTCGGGCGAAATGGTCAATGCTAAAGAAGAGTTATACAAGGATTGAAAGTACAATGTTGCGCTGTAATTGCTATGCACCGTGCTAATGTACCGTGTATAATATTTTATTGAAATTAATAGTAGCGTAATTCAACGCGAACGAAACGAAATAATAATTCATTTCGTAAAATGGAATAATGCTTTAACTATTCCTCTCCACCTCGTCACCGTACAGTGTGCAAAAGTGATTTCTTTTTTCCCGAATTAACACGGTTCCCATTTGTCACGTGTCACGTGGGAACGGGCATTAACATTCCTCGCAGTCTGGAGGAACAGAAGAAAATGTCGAGCAGATAGGATAGGAGTTGGGTAATGAATAGAATCTATTCGAGAGAGGTGTGAAACCGACGGATACGTTGACACCATGAATAATTACGAACGTCGAAACATTTCATTTTCACGTCTGCTTACGAGCATTCAACGATTCAGGGACTAACGATTCCGAGAATCGAAGGATATATCCAAGAATAATCCTTGAAACGAGGTATTCACGATCGTACAGATTTTTTTTCAATAAATTCTATCAAAGGAAAAAAGGGAGTAAAATTTATAACCTCGAATATATTAACGATAGCCTGTTCAAATAACAATCTTAATCGTGCGTTTGAGGAGATCAATCCATCACTATGATGTTTGATGTTTGATTACTGTGTACACAACGTACTAATTGTAAGCTCTATATGTACCTTAATTAAATGGCCAATTATACCTCTTCCAATTTTAAACTTCTATCGAAATAATTCTTAAAAATTAACCTTGTATCGTGTATTTGTCAGAATGTAAATTTAAAAATTATACATCAATTCTCAAAAATTGATCAATCATTGTATATAAAGTGTTCGATTTCAATTTTAAATTACATATAAAAAAAAAAAATGTAAAGTTATTTGGTCCATCAATCAAAAATATTAAATCATTAAAATTACAATTACATTCGTTACTGGCCGATAATTCGATCAGTAGGGAAAACTTTCATTATTTCTCACGGTTTGCATTTCCCCAAGACTTTGCTTTACGACTTTCTCTTCGTAACTCTCCGCTGCGAATCTTCATTATGCACGCACTGAACTATGAACAGCTTCCGAAAGTTAAAGTCACTTATCGGCGATGAGCATATCTCCGGTAAGTTTAATCTACCCTGGAATCTAGATTTCCTGCCGGAAATCGGAACATTGATCCTTGTACCCGTCTCGACGCCCGATTACGATCCGGGAATGTTTATTAAATCCAACTATGTTTCTTTCCGCTAGCCCCCTCCCCTTCCTCGATCGTTCTCGTTTCCTTCTGCTCGATTAAAACTCACCCTCGCTTCCAGATGACTCGAATCGCGGTCGTTTCCTACTTTTCGCAATTTGACATGTTACTCTTATCTTTTTTTCTTCCTAATCTTTTTTAATATTTGAATTTTTTTCGATTTTTTTTTTTTTTTGATTTTTTGATATTATTATCTGTTTGAAAAAGGAATAAGAAATTCTGAGATGAAATTGATGAACTTTTTTTTATTTATTTTTTTCTTCTTCTTTGATTAACTTGGATAGAGAGAGTTATGTGTGATTTATGGAGGATTTATTTAATTGCTTAAAACTGCACTCTTTGCGATATGTAAAACTTGATATCGATAATTTATTTGAATGGATGGATATTCGGGCACGTAATGTTTTTAATTAATGCAAGATAAGTTGCGTTATAATTACATGAGTCATGAAAGGAGAAAAATTTGTAATTCGGAGGGGGGAAAAAAGGTATACAGTTGAGAAATTAAAAACTTAAATTACGTTGGTGAATTTCATTCGTAGATTAACGTATTAAACTTGTAGAAGAGGAAGTGGGCCCGTTTGAAAAATTATACTTAAGGTA